TTCCCTTCCCTTCCCTTCCCTTCCCTTCCCTTCCCTTCCCTTCCCTTCCCTTCCCTTCCCTTCCCTTCCCTTCCCTCTAAATAACATCCTAGATCTGTTGTTCATTCATTCTCTATAGTATCTGCTGATGTCACTTGTTGGAATAAAAACCTACTAAGAGAAATACTTGCATCAAAATGGTAAAACTAATATATCCAACAAATGCAGTACTACCTTGCTCTTTTTGTTTACTTCTGTTTATTTAAGGGATTACCAAGATGTTGTAAAGGATATCTCATAATTGGGAGTCTGGGGATGTTCTTTTTACACTCTGATATGAAAAATGTAGACTTTGCTGCTGGCACTGTGCTAATTGGTAGGCCACACGTCTCTTGGTTGGAGCATGAGCAAGGCAGGCGAACAGAAGGCAGGTGCTGAGCCGGCAGCAGCAGTGGTTGCAGGGCATCTCCGTTCCCAGTCTTTCCTTCAGGGGCATAAAAAGCCCGTATGTAGCTAGTCAAGAAACAGACGTATCAATAAAGTAAAACCAGAGTGTAATTAAACAACGAAGCATGACAAGCAGTGCATTTCTAGGGAATTACAACATGCCTTGGGTGGAGCTATGAGGCCTGAGGCCAAAGGTTGGATGGCTTTAATCACCCAAGAAACACAGAAACCCCCTAATGCAGACAGTTCTAGAGAAAGGAAGAGTGGAGTGGTGTGGGCAGGCTTCCTGCATGCAGCTTAGAAAACAAGTTTTGATTTTATCCTGCCTGGGTACAGAAATGCCTGTAGCTCCTGCACACCTCTTGCTGCCTACAGCTTAGCTGTTTAAGCTGCTAAGGCTGAAGCTGGCACACCCAGCAAGCTCGTCACTTGCTCAGCACCTGAGTAGATCCGATGTGTGGAGCAGAAAGTTTTACCCTGGATTACGGCATTTTTTTCCAGCCTCTGTGCCTGGGCTGTGATTTCCATGAGCAGAGCTCGGGAGTAATGAGAGCAGCTGTTAACTCTGGTACAGGGAATGAGGAACCAGTGAAATGAGAGGATCCTCCTGATGCTGGGGCTGGGGAGCCTGGAGGGACATTTGTGGGGTGACAGACATTCAGGCCAGGGACGTGGCCAGAGAGGCCCAGGGATGAGCTGGAAGCCAGAGTTATTTTGTCCACTGAGGTGGGATGAATGATGGGTGAGACCATTTGAGTGCTTTTCAGTGTGGATAATTAAAATAAAATTGTGATATCACCAGGTGTCCCGATGTACTTCTGTACAGAGGGCCGTGAGATTTCAAGGAGCTGTGGGTGGGATGGCCAGCTGCTTCCTTTTCCTGCTGATCTTCTTTCTCCAAGTAACCTCTTAAGGATGTGAAGCTTTACCCAAGAGGTAGGGGTGAGGCGATGCTTGCAGGTGCAGTGGTTTTCTTACCCCGTGTTCCTCCTCTCTGTTAGATTCTGGGGTTTGGCTGGAGATGTACAAGACCTCTGCAGAGACAGAAGACTTCAGCTGGGTAGCAGGATGAAGGGTAGACCATGGTCTGCCTCCAGGCTTTTTTAATTTCATTCTTTCTGCCTCCTGAAGAGATTGTGCATGCAGCAGCGCTGCTCTCTCCCTGCCTCTCCCATCCTCCCGAGTTGTGGCAGGGCTGCCTGTGTCCCAGCAGCAAAAAAAAGCTGCAGACAGTTCAGAGCAGTCTGATGGGGTGGCACAGACGCTGCTATACCACCCGTGTGGGAGCCCCTAACGCTTCTGCCTGCCTGTGGTGGTCTCTATCTCACATGGGTTCAGAAATGCAGTCAGAAGCAGGATATGGCCTCGGTTGTAGGCAGGGCCTAAATATGGCTTGCTTGCTGCAGTGGCAGCTCCCAGGAGGGTGTGGGAACAACAGGCGCTTGGAAAAGAGGTCTTGTGAGGTGGGAGCCTTTGTGTCATTCTTGCAATAAAGTTTTCAAGCACGGAACATGCTGATTCACAGAAATTGAGACTGTTTGTGGGAAAGGGTTGGCTTTCACAAGTATCTTGACTCAAAAAGTATTGTGGAAATAAAGTTTTGGAACTGTCAGAATGTTTTGGTAGTTTCTAACTAAATGGCTTTCCCATTCAAAATTAGTTTTTGTTTAGAAAATTAAACTTAATAGCGTATTTAAAAAGTCACATTGAAAAGATATGTTTTGAAATTGTCAAAGCAAAATGCTGGCCTTGAACTCCAGGCTTTTTTTTTCTTTTTCTTTCTTTTTTTTTTTTTTTCTTCCCCTTTGCTCTAGGTCTTTAGCTTTGAAAATTTTGGTAATTTAAACCTTTTCTCTCACTTTGAAATGTGGAAAAAAAACATTGATATCTAGAAAACTGTTTACAGGGAAGCCATTTCTCTTTCAGCTTAACATAACAGTCCATGCCACTTTAACATGGAGTAGCCCCATTTAAAAACAACGGGTTTCTAATAAATTCACTTAAAAAATAAATAAAATGATTCTATTGCTACATAAGCCACCTTTTACTGCCACAATTAGTCTCCCACAAGTACGACCAGGTTTTCTGATTTTAGGCTTAAAATGATTGCTGATGACTGTAGCGCGCTCAAAAGAAACCAAATACAGATGGTTTAGTTCGAACAATGTTTTTCTCACACAGTATTTAACGTTCAAGAAAGTCATAAAACAAAGAAGTCCCAATTCAGTACTGTGCAGCATGTCCTGCTGATGTGTTTATTTCTGTTGCCTGGATTTTAATCACTGGGATGTGCTTACTTCAAATGTGATGCTAAACATTGCCCATTATTATAATGCATTTCCCAGGAAAGTGCATTCTGACTAGCATGCAAAGCGCAGGAGAAAAACATAGGGGGATTATTATTTTTTTAACGTGGCCTTAGGAAAAACAATGGCTCATTCTTTCAAACCTTGGATCCCGACTCCTATTTTTACTGTTACCAGCTTGGCAAAGGGAGAGGGCCTTCCAAGTGAGCGTGAGCTGCAGTCGTATCGACTGCATCCCAGTGCCGGGGGGCCACACGCTAAGTGTGAACCCAGCCCCTTGCAGCTCTGTCATACTTTCTGCCATGGTTGTGCCAGGAAGCTCCATGGCATGGCCCACATACTTCCCAATGTGCTTAGTCAAGCTTGCAGGGCTGGACTCCAAGTCCCTGTCTGCTCTGCGTGGACATTAAAGAAGCCGCTATGCTTTTTCCTAAGAGCAGTGGTTTGTTGCAGAGTTCTTGACTATAATTATGTCCCGCAGTAACCATTGTGCAGCAAGACATGAGTCAGTTGACTGCTTCCAGCCCAGAAGTGGTTGCGTTTTGGTGGTGATGCGGCTTTCAAGCAGCAAGTGGGTTATATAATGACGTGCTGTTAGCTGAGCTCGCAGGTTCAGCCTGCGTGATGGAGGCGTTCCTCCTCACAGCGGTGTCGGGGCACTGCATTTTCAGAAGACGTGTAGAACAGATACTATCACTTTTTCCTTTTGTAACATTGTTGGCACCTTTCTATTGCTATGTATAGGCTCAACCTATTGCATTAAAATGAGAGTGGATGGTGAAGGGAGTGGAAGGTAAATCGGAACAGCAATGGGAAACTTTCCAGTTTGCCCATATTATTGAAATCATGACAAAACTTTTTCCGTAGGACTGGCTAGAACCTCAGAGTACTGGCTCTGACTCTGTAAAGCATAAAAACTGCTCATTCTATGACTCTCTCCACTTTTAGTGCCTTCTGAGTATTTTTACCTGGGAAGCTTTATGACATAAGATCATACAATATAAAACTTTACTATGCTGTGTGTTTGGGACTTCATCATTGCAGCCGCACTCCAAAAGCAGCAGGTTGGCAGGTTTGCCTGTGAGCTGCATGGGTGCTTCTGTATTAGCAGTCCAAGTTACATGCGTTGTACAAGCCCACTGAGGTAAAAAGGAAGGAAAGAAGTGCTGCTGGCAGTCGTAGTCAGCTAGATGTTCTTGTCTTCAATTTCGTGATGTTTAAGGCACAGTGGAGCTTTTTTCTCATTAGCGGGAGTCAGTATGCAGAAAACAGATCTCACCAAGTGCTGGTGTACTGTGTCACCCTGTTCCATCTTCATTTCAGCATCACCCACTCCTGCCTTGCCTGAAAAGTTACACACTCTGCAGGTTTCTTTGGGAAGACGGATTGTTTTCATTTGCAGAGGGGTTTGCAGCAGAGCACTTTTAAAATGACATTGTAAGAAATTGCTACAGTGCAAGACCTGCTCTGACTTTTATTTATATAAAAAGAGATCAGGGTTAGGATTTCTAGTTGGAAGAGACCCATGATTTTACTAGGATAGGGGGGCTCATTCTTCTCTCTTGGCATGCCATGCTCTCTGCAATCTATTTGAGAGGCTGTAAAGGCAGTAATAAAGTGGCAATCAGAAACAACACTTCAGTAGTCCTGAACTGCAGTTTGTGGGATTTCATTTGGAACTTATTTACCTGACCCCTCACACGCAGCTATCTGTTTCAGATACCTACGTGAGTCTCCTCTTTGGATGAGGTGAGCCTGTCTGAATCTTAAATTTTGTTCTTCCTCACAGCAGCCTGGAAGGCTTTATTGTTGGGAAAGGGATGTGCAAAGAAGGGAAGGGAATATCGGCACGATAGATGTGGAGCACAGAGACATAGCAGTAACAACTCTGGAGCCAGGAGCAGTATAGTGGCATCAGTGCCACGTTATTCCAGGCTGACTGATCCTCCTGGGAAGAAAACCTTAACTCTCAGGGATGCAATGCCACCAGATCTGAGTGAGCATTTCTGTGTTGGTCCATGCTGCACTGCACTGCAGCCAAGCGGTGCCCGGCAGGTCGGAGCTACCAGTGATCCCACCTTTCAAAAGTCCAGAGCTATGGCTGTAACCACTAGGCCATCCTTTCCTTTACCTGACAGCTGTGATTAGCTGGTTACGCTGACAATAGGACAGCGATGCTTCTCACATGGTAGCACAGCAGAACAAATAGTACACGAGAGTTGACACGTTATTTTTACTGACAAACATATAACGAAAGCAAGATATCTATGAGGTGGTCATAGTTTTCTCTCATTTATTACTTTATGTATTTTAGAAAGCTGTCTTTCATAGCTCATTCCTCTGTATATTGCTTATGAGCCATTCTGTGATTGTCACCAGGCTTCTTAATTGCTAATTCACAATTAGGCAACAGGACTTTCAAGGTCTTGTTTATGACCTAGCTGGGACAATTCATAGCACGGCTGGCTTCCATAATCCTGAGCGAATAGGTTGGATACTGTCTCTAATTCTTCAGAACAACAAGATTAAAGTACATTTTCTGCAAGTTTTCATGCCAGTAAAATATTGACCTGGATGTGGCAAAAAAGGTTAAAGAGAGGTCTGAATGATCTTAAAATTCAAAATTATAGGTGCAGAGTAGGCTTGTTTCTCAGTTTCCTCTGTTTTACATTATTCCTCTGGAAGTCCTTTTCCTTTCCCCTCTGTATTTTTTGCACATACCTTCTGTTGGGCAGGAACATGATGAAAGGGTAGAGCTGAACAGCTGGTGATAGAAATATCATATGTTTTTTATATGCATAGGTACTCTTCTGTCTCTGGAGGCTAACAGATTTAAGGTCCTGGACTAATTGTTACACATACAGCTGATGAAAAGTTGGGACACACTTGACCATGATTATAAACTTGTACAAAGTGTTTCCTTCAGTCTTCACTCTTCCAGAATGAGGGTGGGATTCTGTGTTCCTTGCTCAAGCAAAATCCTGCTGTGCAGCAGAGTCAAGGTAATGGACCGTTGCCTAAATGTAGACTGCAGTATTTAGAAATATAGGACAAAGCAGATTTTCTGCTCTTTTTTTAACTTTCTTCCTTGCTGTGGGCATGTGAGCACATCCCAGTGCCTTTCTCTTTATCATATATACCTTGGCATGGAGAAAAATGTTATCATCCCAGATCTGCCTATCGGGAATTGGCATGGAAACTGCTAAAGCAGTCAGGTTTCCAGTGGTACAGGGGGGGTCTTACTCAGATGCCTTACTCTCATATCTGGTAGCTAGGCATTTTTGAAAATGCCCCTAGACATGCTTCTTGGCAAATCCAGTCCTGAGTGATGTGGCAGAGCAGGGACTTGAACCCACCCTAGTGCCCCTGGTGCTTAGCAGGGCTGCAAATGGGGGTTTTTCCTTCCCGTCCTCGATCTGCGCGTAGTCCTCGCACTGCTGCCTTTGATTTAGAGGGGCCGCTCTGAATAGAAAGTCTGTGCTCAGGGTGAGTAATGGTGGTGAAATTAGTCTGTCTTTTTAGTAGCTGATTTTTAAGCCTGAAAAATCTGGCGTCTTCACAAATTGTGAATCAGAGCATCCAGCTACAGATGTTATCCTCTGCAGACCGAGGATCCCATACCCAGCCGTACCACTGTTGAACTAATGAAATGCTCTCTGAGTGTGAGTCCTATTTCTACAGCATCCAGAGGGTATTTTCTTTCTCCCTGTAGAAGAAAAAAGATCAGAGACGGTGAAAAGCAAAACAGAGTAACATGAAGGAAGGGGAAAAAATGTGTTCAGAAGATCCCTGTCTCCCTGCAGCTTCCTGCTCCCCTCCCCCTGCCCCCGCCTCCTCTTCCGTCTGTCTCTAAGGGTTAAATATGCAGAGGGAAAAAATTGCTAGACTTTATGTCTGTGCTTGGTGGGAACTATTAAATTACGGCTGGATGTTTTTAATTATGCCACACATAAATGCCTGAACACAACAGCGTTTTAATCCAAATGTGAGCCTCATTTATGTGTGTTCTGTGTTTGCTCTGAAATGCACTGGCTGGCACTTGTTTGTGGTGGCCCCTTTGTGGCATTGTAACAGTGTGGGGCTTTTCCCCCCCCGCCCCCTTTTTTTTTTTCCCAAGTGCGAGGATGGGAGCTAGTGCTGGTGAGGGGGAAAGGAAATGGGTAATAAAACAGAGAGCTAAGCGGCTCACTGGAGCCAGCGATGCTGGGATCTGGTTAATTGCTCCAAAATGAAAAAGATTCGGGGGTTTTCATGAAATCCCATAGGTGCATTTGCCAAGCCTCAAATATTAGATTGAATTACAGTTTCTAATTCCTCCCCCCCTTTACCCACAGCCATGTGTCTTATTTCTTCCTAAGGCTTGTCCACTTTTCAGAGCAATGAATAGAAGAGGGAAGCTGAGTAAGGACTGCCTGCCTGCTTGTTTTACACCTTCCCCACCTCCAGCTTTTCTTAATCCTACCTTTTATTAAAAAAAGAGAAATCTGTCTCGCCGTCCTCCAGTGTATCCTGATCTGTTTGTGGCTTTGAGGTTGAAACGTTGCCTCTCTATTCCGCCTAAGTCTGGGGCTGTGGGGAGCGTGTACTGAGGGAGACAGTCTCTGTCCCTTGTTCTCTGCACCCACGCACTAGCTAAGCATAATATAATCTGCTGCTGTGCAGCCACCAAGACTTGGTGGTTTTTTAAGGGGCTTTGACCTGTCCCTCTCATTTTCAGGAACAATTTTGCATTGGCGGTCAGCTGTGCCAGCATTTTTCCTGTCCCACGAAGGGATTTCAGCACCTGATTTGTGGGTGTAGGGGGACTTCACCGGGAAATGACGCCAGCGGCGTGGCTCAGAGGAGGTGCCGTCTCTGAGGCCAGATCCTGACATGGTGGGATTGGCACCCACAGAACTGACGCCGGGGCTGAGACTCCCCTGTGCAATAAATTATATCCACAAATCAAGACGCAAGTCCCGCTTTTGACAGTTATTGTGTTTTGTTAACCAGGGAACAATGTATATTTTCTCAGTCGGGACGTTTTGAGAGTACGGAAAGTGCACCTTGGTTATTAGGCTGGTATCTGATCCAAGTGTTGTTTCTCTTCTTGTGAGGAACTGGAAATCTTTCCTCTTTCTTCCATCCCAGAGATGGAAAGGCCCTCTGAGTCACCTAGGTCTGTCCCAGCCTTGGAACAGACCTTTCTGCTGGAAATTTCTCTGGCATGTTTTTTCTGAGTTGGTCGCTCTAGTGCTCCAAGCATCTCCCTGAGGCAGCTACTTCTAATGCACTTCTTGAGTGATTTTTTTCTTGTCTTTTGCCTTTATTTCAACCTCTTTTTTTTTGTGTTTTGGGTGAAGGTGTTCCTGCACGCCGGTCTCAGTCAGCTCCCTCAGCCCCTCTGTCCTCCTGGAAGTCGTCGTTTTCTGCATTCCTGTGTCATTTCTCACCTTCCTTGTACCATTTACCAGTGCAAGCTCCCTTGGAAGTGTTCCTTCAACATTTGCATGCGCGTTAACAATTAAATGTAAGTTCCCTCTTTTAATCTGCTGTGATTATTTTAAATAATTAAAATTAAGAGGCCCTTTTCCCACCCGAAGGCAAGAAGGGTCTGAACCACCGTTGAGCTGGCAATGCCTCCCCAGCTCCTCGCACGGGCCCTGCCATTAGGCAGTAGCCTGGGCTGCCTGGTTGAGGAGAACAGAGCAACTGAGGGCATGCTCTAGTAAAGCATGCTTTGATGCGTCTGCTGTTTCCTTGTACGTGATCTCATGATGCATTGCTGTGGGGAGATCTAGCTGTTCTGCCAACTCGTTTTCAAGAACTGTTTTCAAAGAGAATGGTTTTAAATTGCTCACTTGGGGGGTCATTTATTGTCTATTTTTTTAGTGCTGGGTCCTCAGGCATTCGAGGGTGAAATCTCTATTGTTCACCCCACCTCCAAAAGGATCAGAAATCACGGATTTTTATTTAGCCACCCACTGTCTTTTGACCTGAATACTTCAATTTTTATTTCCCACCCAGTCCCTTCCCAATGTTAGCCACAGTCTTCCCATCTCGCTCTCACCCTGTAGGGTAAGGAAATGTGGTTTCAACCATGAATGACATTAATGCCATTGTGTGAATCATTAGTGGATCCAGCATCACAAGCCCCAGGGGATCGAATATTTGCAAACCACTAGAGAGAGATTCTAATATCAAATACGTGGCAGGAATCATCCTAGCTCGAAGAAAACAAAACAACTCTATTTAATATGCAGAGAAGATCATGGTGCTTAGAGAGAGCGGAGGAGCTTGTGTAATGGCCTCGAGGGGCCCAGTGGCAACCATCATGCAGTGCTTCTCCCCCATCTCCGCAGCCCCTCTTTCCTCCCCTCCTCCCGGAGCAGCTCCCTTTCCAGTTGAATAACCAGCAATTCCCACTTGCCGTGTGTGATGCCAGTATCTGAAGCCATGAGGAAGGCTGTTGCCTCGTTCTTCCTCAAAACAAACAATCAAGAAGTCAAGATGAAGCATGACTAACTCAGAAAAAAAAAAAAAAAAAAAGCAAAGACAGAAAGACAGAAACTGAGCTTTTGCAGTAGAGTAGGAGAGGAAGAGAACAACACCTGCTGCTCTGTTGCGGTGCCGTCTTGATTGCCTCGAGGCTGCTGTTAATTCTGTCTTCTTGGGCCTTTGTACCAGCATTTCTGCCTTGCTTCACACTAGGTACAAGAGCACAGGATTGTCTCACAGGCCAAGGAAAGAGTGTAAGGTGTAACCCTGTGATCGCTGGCCCCTCTGATGATCACAGCACTTAAGTAGGTGTACAAAAATTGATCTTCTCTTTGTTTAATGGCAGGTGCTCATGTATGGAAATTATGGGTAAACATCTGCTGGGATGTAAACACAGAAGGCTGTTGGCTCCTGCCGTATGCATTACCTGCGTAGAAACAGGAATCCTATACAAAGGCAGAGAGGGCAGATGGGAGTGTTCTGTTATGCATAACAGGACACAGGCTTCCCTTAATGATCTCATCCCTCTAACCTTGAAAAGGAAATTCAAAGATATTGCAAACCCTCTTTCTGTGGAAACAATTATTCCCAAATATCAGGCATTAATACTTGACATTCAGTGCAAATTAGAAGGTTACTAAAAATGGACAGTTTATTCAAATAACTAACTGGGAAAGCTGGATCCTGTTCTGATGCAAGTGGCAAACCTAGAGATATTTAAAACATCTTAAAATAACTACTGAAATATTTGTGTAAAACTACATTTTTTTTTAAATAGTATTTTTATTTTTTTTCCTTCAGAACCTGCATTTCATTTCTCTTCTGTTATGTACTATGAATTGAAGTATTGGAATATGGGAATGTCTGGTCCCCAAAGGACCTGATCTGAAGGGAAGATTAGTTAATTTTATCAAGCATACAGAACAAACTTGAAAGGTTTTGAAATCAGCTCCTTTGGCTTTATCTACATTCATGTTTGAGAATGTTTGCCAAGTAAATATGATTGTATTGAAATTCTTGCACACAGTCTCCAAAGCTGACAGGGATGACCAAGCTCCAGGGAGCAGAAAAGTTCAAGTAGGTATTCTGAGAGATATCAGGTTACACTCTTGATTTCAAACTCTTCTACGCTGACGTCTGTAAACAGATTCTGTAAGATTTCTTCTTGCAGGTCACTACTGTAACAAACTTATTAGTTTTCTGATAATTATGAAGGTTTTGCCAGCAATGATGTCAGACTCAGAATTAAAAGTATGTGTAGTGCAGATAAGATAAAAGGTGCCTTTTTTCTTTGAACATTGAGAGTTTTCTGGTTGTAGTTTCTTAAACTTGTTGAAGAGAATGATAACACAACCTAATTTGGGATGGGAAAAATAAACCTTCAGGCACAACAACAACAAACAAAATGAAGAGAAAACCTCTCCTACCTAGACCCTAACTGTATGGAAGATTGTTTTTCTGTGTGCGTGAATAAATGTTGTAATTAAGACTTAGTCGAAAAGAAAGAATGACAACAATGTGTAATCAATGCATATGGCTATTACAGAGTCTTCTTGAATAATGGATATTTTCCTGCACATGAGTGTTATAACAAAACTGGAAAAGCATCTAAAGAATCTTTTGCTTGCTGTATGATCCTTGGGAATTTAAGCACTGAGATGAGGCTAGGGTATGTTTTCCCAAGCTGTGAAGCTTAGACAAAAATGGGGCTGAAAATGGCTGTATAAGGTAGTATAGGTACAAAGTTATGTAAGTCAACATAAGAACATGCCTTAACTTCTGAAATTTCTGATCAGGAATGTTTCTATGTATCAATTACTTGGAAACACTACGTTTTTTAAAAAAATAAAAATAGATACTGTCCCTAACTGGATACCTCTTCAAATATTTTGTCTTTCACTATTTCTACAGTAACTTACATGAGCTGTAAGTAGTGAAAATATAAAGAGTAGCCAATGACATTTTTCTGTGATAACTCCTTTTGACAAGGTAAAACATAAGCAGACTTCAAGGTCTATGAGCATTCCTTATCAAGCAGAAGCTTATATGATAACTGAATAATTTCATGGTTTCTAAAATGCTGCTTAAATGAATGGACTGAAAGCAACTCCTGTCAATGTCAGAGGGAATTTTACCGGTGGAAACAGAATTAAGCCCGAAAGAGATCATTTTTTCAACACCTTTGCAACTTTTCATCTGGCACCACTGAAGCCAATGGAAAGGTTTTCTTTGACTTTGGTGCATAAAGGGATGTTAGCTGTGTAACCCAATACATCTCTTGTGTGCCAAAGAATAAACAAAATTTAGAATGAGAGCAGCTTTGCTGTAATGGTGATGATATAATACTCAAGAGCAAACAACTAATAAAGTCTTCTTAAAACAAGAATCCATCATGCATGCTCTAAGACCAAAGGGAAAATTTGCCTCTGGCCTCTGGGATCCCCTGCTGGGCAATGAAAAGAGGAGCTATATCATGCAGAAAACTATGAGGAAAGAGAAAAAGCCCTCAGGAGTAAAAAGCCTCTTTCTTTTCCTCCTCCCCCGCCCCCTCTCCTGGCATAGCTATCTTTACTACTTGTACACAATCCCATTGAGAAAAAAACAGTTCATGATAGAACAAACTGAGAAAGTGCTAGTTCAGGCTGCCTGTTCTTTCCTCTCGTGGGTTAATAACAACCAAAAATTAAAGGATTATTTAAGGCCACTTGGGCACTATTAACTACTCCTGCATATTGTGTGACTCTAGGATCACATGCAGTCTGGAAACCAAAGGCAGAAAATGACATTGGGTTAGTATAGGCGGACACCTGGGTTATGAAACAGGGAGTTCTTGAGTTTATTTGTCAGTAGTTTGAGAATTGCCTGTTTCAAAGATGGAAATGAAATAAATGGTGGTCTGCAATCAGCCATTCTGAAACCCCGTAAGACTAGCCAGGCTACCTGATCCTCTAGAAAACCCTTAGTGACTGTTCTCAGTGACCACTTTTTACTTGGATTTATGCTGAAGTTACAAGAGCTCAAAGTTAAATGAAATTCAGTTTTCACTGTGGGTACCAACATGGGGATGAACTGGGAACAGTAATTCTTTGAAAGTTATAACCTGTGTTGTTAAGTGTTTGTTAACCATTTCAGAACATTGGGAAAGCTTTCTTCCCCAAATCCATTCACGTCTGTATTCATGCTTGTTCATTAAAGACTTTGGGTCAA